TATATATATATATATATATATTTACCCTTATGGTTTGACATTTACTATGTTCAGGCTCTAGACTAAGTTAGGTACGGCCCCAGGCCGATCACACGCCTCCTGGATATTGGGCCTGACCCAACAATCAAGCCACCGAACTGTAAACACATCGGTCGCCCCCAAATGCACCCAAGCTCCTCCTCACGGCACGGCAACGCAGCCTCACCACCAGGCGCCCTATTCTAGCTCCCATGCCGGAGGTAGACCTTCAGGCAGAACAGCACTACCAGCCACTGGAGAGTCTCGAGCAACCCTTGGGTTCGAGCCTTATGATTCCTTTCCTCAACGCCGTGTCTTCACGACCACGCCTTGTTCTTACGCGATCCAGAATAGCCCGAGTTAGCGAACGCCAACCCGTGGGCAAAAAGCACTAACCGCACCGAATGCGTAGTCTCAGACACACCATCCCAAGCCGCGAGCAGGATGTCCTTCACATCATCGGTCAGCATATACTGAACATCTCAGCCCAACGCCGCAAATGCCCGCTCGAGCATGTTAAATGCTAACGACACTTGGGCACGGCACGGCTTCCCAAACACTGTATGTGTTATATGGTGAAGCGCCGAGCGCATTCCATTCATCGTCGCTTGCCGGAACGGCGAATTTAGGAACCGCCAGTTAGCTCTCGCACGCCCCGCTGAACATCATAACCATACGATACGCAACCTACGGGCAAGCCGAGTCGTCATACTGGCAAAGCTGCGTACGATGCCTCTTCAACCGCTTTGGTTCAAATTGAAGCATGTACATTAAAGGGCTGTCCTTCGAAAGCACAGCTGGTCCATTACATAGCGGGGCAGACTGGCTTTGACTAGTCTTCGCCTTGGCCTTTGGTTCAAAGTCAGGGGCATCTACTCTAGCAACAGTGCCCCTCCGCAACTGTGCTTCCTGGTCCGCAGTGACACGTATTTGTGCGTCATCGTCAATCAACACAGCAGCCGCTGTCTCTTGCTGCTGCAACAGCTGCCGCACATGCTGATCCAGGGTGCACTCCCTGTTGCCCTCATACAGGCGATTCGTGGCCATCGTGTAAGCCGCATGGCCCAGGGTGGACGTCGCCGCTATGCCAGGTGGACCCAGTCACTCTGCATGTCATCCGTCAGCGATTTCAAGATCCAGTCCTTAGCGACCTTAACCGCTGCTTTTGCCGCAACATTACCTTGGTTTTGGTCCGTTGTAACCAAATCCATCTACCGCCGTGGCTCATGGCAAACTGGTGGATGTCCTCAAAGTCCAGAACTTTGTCCTGGTCTACTGTGTGCACCTTCGTCTGCCCCAAGGGGTGTACCATCTCCTTGGAGAAAGCGCTTCACCTTGCAGCTGCTCGTTGACTTGGAGAGCTGGACCAAGAACATGCCCGTCAGCTGGTCCACCAGCAGTAACAAATAAACATAGCCAGCAAACGTGCGGGGTAGATCTGCGAAATCCATGAACACGTACTGAACGAAACCACGCGAACGCTCGGGCTGCTGCATAAGCCCGTACTGCCGCGGTCCATCAGGCTCATATATCTGAGATTTATGACAGGACCTACGTACCGCCTGGGCGAGCTTGTCGAACCCAGTCCAACCTTAGAGCTCCTTGAGCTTACTGGAAGCTTTCTCCGCCCTAGCGTGCATATATACATCGTGAGCCGCGCCCACCACGTTTCCCACCTCCGACCAGGACAAAGTGAGGCCCCTTAAGACGTACGGTATCTGGCCCTTGCGCGCCAGAAAGCACTTTGTCGGCTCACACTGCGCTCAGCAATTTGTCCGACCGTCGAGACCAAAGGGGCTCGCGTTGGGCGGTTCACAGGGGCGGGCTGGATAGCACAGTCCCCCACCGGCGTACGTGTGAACGCATTTACCTTCTCCCTAAAATGTGCGGAGACAAGGTACCGCTTGTTGTACGATATCCAACACACTAACGTCGGACCCCACGGAAGTGCATTCATCGCCTCATGTCCGTGTCTCAAAAACGTGCCTTTCTGCTGGAGTATCACGATCGGCTCTCACGCCAGCATCCGTGTCATCGCCCCTCACCACTCAGTTTTGGGCATGCAAAGGCACAAAAGCGTCATCTCAAGCTGTTCAGCCATCACCTTAGCTAATATCCTCGTGTCTCCGTTGCGGTTGTGCATCCCTGGCCATGGGGTAGCGTCAAATTGTAATTCGCCTTCGCGTGTTAACATCCTGGTCCCAACCTGCTTCATGATCGGATCGACCTTGGGGGAGACGACTCAGCATGGGCCGTTTTTAGCACCACGCACATGGAGGGAAGGACATCAATGTCCTTACAGACTTCCTGTCACCGCCCCTGACGCCGCCCGCGCGGATCACTAGCAAAGTTGTCCCTATGCACAATGATAGGAGCACTTCGTGGTCCAAGAAGGTGACCGGATAGTGCGAGCGCTTGTACATTGACCACAACACACGGATCCCGTAAACTTGAGCGAAACACTTCTTTATATCAGTGACATGATAATAAAACCCTGTATCCTAGGCTTAACCAACCCCGCACGCGTGCGCAATCTGTCATTGATTAAGCGGAATGCCTGTTTCTGCGGCGCGCCCCACTCGAAAGGCACGTCGTCCTTAAGCAACTTAGAGATGGAAGCTAAAGTTTTGCAAACCCATCCACATAGTTCTTCCAAAATGCAACCATGTGGTACTACGACCGCACCCTGTCTTGGTTGTCCGGCCTGTCAACCTATAACAACGGGGGCAAAAGAACCGTTGCAACTGTGGCGCCCTTATGACCGACCCAACGCTCAGCTTTCCTTCCTGTTTCCAAACTGGACAAAAAAACATATAAGACTGCTCGCAACAAGAATGCCTCCAAGTCCCGCCAATGCTGCTCCACAGTGTCTAAGGCAACCAGTGCATCATCAATGCACCACACAGATCACCCCTTTAAGAGCATCGAAGACCCTGCTTAGGACCCCTGGAAACGCCAGGAAGCCTCAGTAAGGCCAAGCGGAAGGGTGTATCGGTATTTACCTCCTCCGAGGTATCATAAATGTTACGACAAATTAAACTCTATATATTTTATGGCCAACGTGATACTGGTGTCATTGGAAGTGTCACTGGTGCCAGTGTCAATGAGGATTGTAGCCCTACATGGGCGCCACGTTTTAGAAATCTTGTAAATAGCATATATATATTGTTATACACAAAGAGTAAAATCATTTGTAAATAAATGATTCTAACAGTAAACGTGAGAATATCACGACCCTACTCGTCCAGCTCCAACACGACAAATCTATTGTCGTCACAGTCTACTACCGTCACTTACAGCTTGCCAGCAATATGCTGACACATATCCCCCTCCGACGGAATTGCGAAGGGTTCCTGCTCAAGGTTGGAACGCCACTTCGCGAAATTGATACAGAGCTGTCAGTCATTCGTTGACTGGAGCTCCTTACGCAGATCCTTACGTGCCATGGCTAGGAAGCCTTAGTAAGGCCAAACGGCAGGGTGTATTGTATTCACCTCCCCTGAGGCATCCTAAATGTTGCGACAAATTCAAACCCTAAATATTTTATGGCCAAAATGATACTGGTGTCAGTGGAAGTGTCACTGGTGTCAGTGCCAGTGAGGATTGTGGCCCTGCATGGGCGCCACGTTTGAAAATCCTGTAAATATCATATATATTGTTATACACATAGAGAATAAATAAATTTGTAACGGAAATCGTGAGAATATCACGACCCCACTCATTCGGCTACAACACGGCAAATCCATTTTCGTCACAGCCTACTACCGTCACCCACAGCTTGCCAGCAATATGCTGAAACATATCCTCCTTCGACGGAATTGCGAAGGGCTTCTGCTCAAGTTGGAACGCCACTTCGTGAAACTGATACATAACCGTCAGTAATCCTTTGACTGGAGCTTCTTATGCAGATCCTTACGTGCCATGGTTGTCTTCGAAACTCGCAGGCCCTTACCGTTACCCTTCTTTTCGATGATACCTTGCGCAACCATCTGAGCCAAGTTCTCCTTCTGTGCAATTATTTGCGGACGGCTTATGGGGATCTTGCCCCTATAGAACAAACGAGCCGTGCCACGTATGGTTTTGATATAGCTTTATCTTATTCACTGCCATGAATCTGTGGGCGGACTTATCATACGGCCTCGTCTTGAGTTCTTCCGATAGCTACCGCAATCCCGAGCAAACGAACTCGATTGCCTTGTCCGCCCGAACATCGCACTCGGTGATCTCAGGACTATATAGCTCCTCCAACGCCTCTGAAGGCAGAACAATCCCATTTTCCAGGTTCGGGATCTTCGGGGAGAACAGCCCGTGTACCTCTTTTAACGCGCATCCCATCCGGCGCAATACAGCCTTGCGCTTTCTAGGGTTATGCGCTCGCATCTGCTGCCGCACCTGCGACTTAGTTCCCGTGAATGGGCATGATTCTGCCCAATAACACGCACCTGTGGTTGCACTTACATATCGACCCTGGCTCTGTTTAATAAAACGTACCCTCTCAGGTACTTGAGCCTCCCCAAAGCCCGTGTACGCCGCCTTCGTCCTGACCAAGCTCACGTATTCGCTCCACTGTCATAAGTTGTCGGACTGCCCGCCAGTGAGGAACACCATTGTATTCTTCAACATGACTTCTGATCTCACTCAAATTTACTGATTTCGACTCTCAATCTGACGCTTCTATTTCTTAGATGTAAAAAAAATAATTTTGCGTTCTATATCATATCAAGAACTCACAATTTTCCAACACCTCGTCTACTTCTCTATCGTTTGCCCTATTATTGTTCCCACCCTCGTCTGCTTCCCCATCGAAGTAGTCTCGCAGCCACAGTATGATATCAAGTACCTTCCCATATTACTCATCAATCGGATAAAATTTCGTCGTTGTGAGTTGTTGGCTTTTTTGTAGCCTTTTCACCCTTTTCTGTAGACTAGTAATCAGCTTTTGAGTTGCCTGATAACGTTTCTGCATCTGACTCTTCAATTTTCGCCGCAGATACTTTGCTCTTCTCGATAGTTTGTTGGTCGAAGTCGTCCGTTACAACGAAACACTGTATTTCCGTATCTGTAGCAATACGACCTCCGGTCAGTCCAAAATATCAAGATCAAAGGATATAACACCTTGGTTTTTATTGTATTTAAATATTTTAAAAATACTATTTAAATACGAATACTTTTTCTAATATTTCCAAAGTGTTCTAAATACATTTCGATGGCACCAATAGCCTGAGTATTTGGTATGACTCATTTACATGGACCTATTTAAGACATTAGTAGATGTAGGATATAAGCTAAATTTCATAACCTCTTAATTACTACTTACAAATTTTGGTCCTCCTGCCAATCTACAAAATCCAACAAGTCTTTCTTTTTTTATATTTTCTTCAGATGAAAATGTATTTTGTAATAGCGAATGTATTAACGTGACTTAGGTTCTTGTTTTAATCTAAAACTTAGGCAAATGGTTATGAACACTTAGTACGTCTAGTAAAAAATATTCAATAAAGAACAGCTAGAGGTACGTCCTGTGTGATCAAGGATATTAAGGCTCTTGTCCAGAGGCAGTTCCGATTATTCTTACACAGGCTACCACTGCTAACTTTTAACTGACTTAAATTGTATCTTAGTTTATTTAACATAGTTTGAAACTTAGTAATATTCATCGAAGTTTATGTACATATCTCAGTGTTTGACTCTACTCTGTGCAACTTCATTACTATTTCGGGGGGTTTTTTTTCAAATAGTGCTAAAGATGTGACTTTTTCGGCCTTTGTGCACATTTTGCACGGAGTTCCCCGCTTCTGATTCTCTTTGCCGCTCATACCTTGTCTGTCCATCTTGCATAGCTGTCATATCCATACCAAGGGGGGGGGGGGGGTTGAAGTTGATATTTCAAAAAAGAAACACCCCCCCCGTGAGCAAAAAGCAATGTCTTGAAGTCTATTGGCTGCAGGTATATAGCTGCAGCCCATTCGCCGGTCACGACAGTGACCTGTAAAGTACAGCTTATATTGCGTATATAAGCAGCACTATTATCTACAGTCACAGCAGCACGCTCCCTCTCTCTGCTAATCAATAACGTGGCTCCAGTGGTAGATTCCACACCAACGGTCATCCCTGAAGCAGACAAGCCCAAGGAGACGATGCCAAGGATACTGAAACCAAGGAGATCGCTAAAGATCCCGAGGAAGGCTTCCAATCCGATAATGATCAAGAATCCGGCATCGACTCCGATTCCCAGAAAACAATGCTTTCAAGAAAATTTCGGCGCAAGTACTCAGCCTGTGGAACATGTTCAACAGCAAGTGGTGCAAGCCAACGTACAATAAGCAGCACTGGCGAGTTGCAATGATTCTATTGTTGCAGATGGAAGTGATCTCATCCAACCAGACCAGTACGTCCCAACCAAAACCCCGCGACGAAATGGATCAGAAAATGAGTGAGTGCCATCTTCATGCACCCGAAGCTCTCAAGAAGAAGACCAAACAAGGCATACCTATCGCTCTTTATGAGACTAAAAAGAACTTACGAGTTAGCAAGGGATGACCCACCCTCAACAACCTGCCAACCCAAGAACGATCCTTTATAGCCTTCAAAGAAGGAAAAGAGCAGTCCAACACATTTACCGATGTATTCAGCACATGTACGTCAAACTGGGCACCAGTCCTCCTATCGAACCCAGGTGTTCTGACCTACGAATCCATCGCCGATTTTCTGCATTCTCAAATGCAATAATGCGAGCTCGCGACTCGAATAACGCCGGAAGAAATCGCGATCTTTGACCGAGACCACCGTTTGTCTCTCGGCACATACGAACATCACACTCGAGTCGGCGAAGTGAACGCAGTAAAGCTCGCAATGTGCGTAAGATCAAGCACATTCAATCTAAGCTCCGCCTACTGCATGATTTGCCGCTGTGAAAAGACATTCTGCACCAATAACCACGGGGGTTCTCCCAACAAGCGAACAAAACGCACCCCCAACCCGGATCCACACGGGCCTCCTGCAACCCAAAAATGCATAAATCACAAGTCCGGAAAATCTACTCGTGATCCTTGCACCTACAAGCACGGATGTAACGTGAAAAGGTATGCCGCCCCACAGCCCATCACGGTGCCGCACACGCCTGATATTTTACGGTCGCGCATGTATTCAGCTAGACTACCTCCGTCAACGTTTTAGACGCCATTCGAAAGACCACAAGGCCTAAGTGCGTTCCCAGTGTACACAAGCTCAATAAAGCTCTGAAACATTATGACCGCACCAAACAAAATCATTTGCTTTCAATGATCACGCACGGTACTCGTCACTTGGATATATAGTTGACCGTACATTACACATATTTCGCAGAAAGCATCGCTCCTATAGCAATGACATCTCGCTTTCTAACCAAAAACTCGCAGAAGAATTGGCAATTGGCACTACTATCAGTCCATTGACAGAGTCCGAGTACAGAGAATCACTACCCTTTATTAGATACTCTCCACGGGGTAGCCTGATCAAAGATAGACCTTAGGGAAAGAAATTCCGCCGCGTTAGCGACCATTCCTGTCCGAAGGAGCGCAGAAAGACCGAATACTGCAAAGTTATTCTTGTGGCCGCCGCTCTAGGCCAAGCACCTGAGGGCTCCACACTTAGTGTCGTTGACATCGAAAATGCATTCTACCTAGTACCTGTACACAAGGACGAGGTGATGCTTATGGCATTTCGCCACGACGACGATCGCATATATTTCGAACTCTGTCTCAATTTCGGAAATGGTAATAGCCCTGAACTGTATGAACATCTGGCCGCAGCCTAGGATTCGGGCCTGGGGCACCACAAACCCATCCTCTGGCGTTGGGTCGATGACTACCTGTTTCTGCATCTTCTATTCTCAGGCGTGTGAGAGATGCGAACTAGTCGGAAAACTTTCGATGCGTTCGATATCAAGTTATCTGAAAAGAAACTCACTAGTCATCGACCTGCAGTCGAATGGATTGGCATTCTTTGGGACATGTCCGCACGCACGGTAGGCATAACTCCCAACAAGCGAGCCAAGTATGAGGCGATCCTCCAAAGATGGTGCAAGATTACAGTAGACACACACGACGTCCGGCGATGGCTGCATTTCTACTGGTGAATGGTATTACCTTCCCTGGGAGTTACATATTAATAGGCTCGCCCAGTTCAAAGACCACCCCTCTCTCGGGGCACGACGCTATTATATAACAGCTCTGGAGCTTCTTACAGTCGTCTACCTCGCAGGCTTGCACGCAGCGCGATTCACTAGCTACACGATTCAGATCATGTCAGACAACACCAGTGCAGTCGCATTTACACCACGCTCATCGAACACTCCTGAAATGCTCAGTCTGCTCCGACTACTCTCGGAACTAGAGATGACATATGACTTCGCCGCACTATGGTACGTATACCGGGTAAGATAACACCACCGCGGACCGCATCAGTCGCGCAAGGTTCACTGATGAAGACAAGGTTTGTACAGCCCAATCTACTACCCCTTCCTACTCCATTAGGAGATCTGATACTGCAATACGAGACCAATCTGAGGGCTCGTTTTGTACCCTCTCCCACTGTGTAACAGAGAGTGCAATAGTTTTTATATATGCTACATATGCTATACGATTCCGATGACTCGCTAAATTCTTAAAAATTATTTGAGGATTTCTGAATTTTCAACCAATGGCTATTCAGTATTTACTCACTGGATTCTATCGCTTACTCATTTACATACCACTAGCCCCCGCCCCATTCCAGCGGGTCGCAGCTTTCCTACTCCCATACCAACTGGATGCTTGTCACCCGTCATGGTTTACGGTAGACCGCACATGAAACGCTCTCTTGGAGCACACAATAACGACGTTCGCATACCTATGGCAGCCTTATACAAAAACTAGTGCATCATCTGCAACGCCAATTCATCGACAACCTCTTGGAGCACACAATAACGACGTTCGCATACCTATGGCAGCCTTATACAAAAACTAGTGCATCATCTGCAACGCCAATTCATCGACAACCTCTCCGTGGATAGCATCAAGATATATACCACACACGTACGATCTCTTTATCGTATGCAAGGACAGACCCCCATGTACGATTCAACGTCGTCACGCAATATAGAAAAGCCATGCGACGTCGCCGCGTGTCCGAAGGACGTCAGTCACCATAACGAGACCGGCCACCATTCACCCCAGCTATCCTTCGTCAGCTACTGTGACCACAACTAACTAACAACCTAAGCAACCTTGGAAGTCTGCGTCTACTCACTGCGCTATCAGTTGGCATCTTCGCCATCATGAGATCAGGAACGTTCACGGTATCAAACGGGGTCGCCTACTCGCAGCATCGGTATATCAGCAGGGCTCAAGATCGTAGAGTGTAAGGTAGTAAACTTTAAATAAAGTGCAAATGTATGTATTTATTTCTGACCTCACCTTTGGTTTTATATCTAAGGTGTTTGTGTTAGTGTTCAGCCAATTGGGCTGGCCAGGGTAAAACCTCATATGGTCTGTACGAGAAACTATCTGCAGAACACTTTACTACTTCGATGCTATTCTTCTTTCAGCGCCGGGTGATCAAGCCCTGCACGAATAGCCATCTTATAAGTATGCTCATATGCTCGATGAGTTAA